TTTTTTTTTTCGGTACCGGGGATCAAACTCATGACCTTGCACTTGCCAGACAGGTGCTTATGCCACTGAGCTATATCCCCAGCCCTAAAGCAAGAAGATCTAAAAGAGTATCTACTTTTAAAGATGCAAATGTTGATGTGATAGTTAACTGACTGCGTCAGTTTGAGTCAGAAACACTCAACCATACTGGATCAGCACAGTTCTGGATATGGAAGATACACCCTAGGGAGGATTGTAGATAAAATGGTCTAAAAGGGAAATGAAGAAGGAAGGCTGCTTCTGTTTCTTCAGAGGAGCTCTAATCCTCACCTTCACTTTGGATGTCATTTCCTGGCTTCCAGTGCAGACCCTTCAGCCTCCAGCAAAGACCCTTTGGCCTCTTGATACAGGCTCATACAGGACACACTCCGTGAGCTCCAGGCCTTAGACTGGATCCTTCGGATACATAGGGCACAGGCGCACCTTTTGTGCTCTTCCTCACCTGACTCAGTGGGCAACCCCTGTAAGCCAGTCTTGTAAATTCATATATATGTTCATATATATGTATATATATGAATATGTATATTTGTATATTGTGCATTAAATGTTTCTCTAGTAAGCACTGACTGATATAATTGATAATAAGGGGATATGAGGATGGGTTGTATATAGTGTGATTGAAACACAGTGAATGCTTAATTAAAATAAATTATTATATTACAGATGCAGTGCCATTAATCTCCCTGAAAATAATCCCCTGACTTTGAACACACCTTATGGCATCATTACTGCCACTTTCTGAAGCAGTTCGAGAAGTTCGCTTTCATGAATGTCTTTATAAATTATGAAAAAGAGCAGTTAATGTTGCTGCCCATGCCATCCAAAGAAAGGCAGCCTTAAAAATATTACAACATGTCCTCATCCACCATATTCACTGGATTTGTTACCATGCAACTTCTGGTTCTTCCTCAAAGTCAAAAAGATCATGAAAGGTAAACATTTTGAAGAAATTCAAGATATCAAGGCAGCCTTGACAGCACAACTAGAGACACTCAGGAAACAGGACTTCCAGAACTGCTTCAGAAAGTGACAAAAGCAATGGGAGAAGTATGTTCAAAGAAGGGGGTGGTATTTTGAGGGGACCTTAATGCCAATGTGTCTTCTGCTATAATAAATTTTATTAATTTTAATATTCACCATATTTTTCAATATCACTTATAAAAATATTTTTATATTTTTCTGTAAAGCTACAGCTAGTTTAAAAGTTAGTGTTTGTTTGATCAATCTTACATGCCTATATCTGGTAGTTTAAACAACTGCTTTCAAGATAACAATATAGTATATAATAACCACTGTTAATTTACTATCATCTTGTTTAAAAATTGTGTATCTTTTTATTGTTTTTATTACTTTTAAGATAAAAAAGTGAATATATATTATTTTTTAAAAATGCTATTGAACTAGTATTAGAGCAACACTTCATTAAGTTTATGAAAGCTATCAGTAGAAACTTTCCATAATGGTGAAATATTAGATTCATTGCGTGTCAAATTAATAATGAAACAACAATGCCCCAAACCTTTTCCAGGACTGTCCTGGTAATCCAAGTCAATACATCATAATGAGATAAAGAAATAAATTGTATATCACAGTGGTCAGTTGATTGTCCACTTCTAGGGGGAACACCTAGCTGAACTGAATCAGTGCTTAGCTCTGGGCATGGAAGACACACTTAAGGAGGCTGGTAGTTGGGATAGTATAAAGGGAGAATGTGAGGAAAAGATTTCATGCTGATTTCTCTTGCAAGAGCTTCATTGCTAGTGATTTTTGTTCCTGCTGCTTTTCTTCAGAGAAGCTGAGGCTGTTCTCTTTGGCGGAGCTCCTGCCTTCGCCTTCGGCAAGGATGGCTGCTGTTCTCCTGGGAGGAGCTCCGGTCTTCTCCTTTGCCATAGTTCTCCTGGTTCTCAGCACAGAGACTTCAGCTTTCTAGGAACAGCCTTTCAGCCTTCAGGGGAAGATTCTCTAGCTTCCAGCACTGACCCTTGGGCTTTCTGTGGCAGACCCTTCAGTCTTCCATTGCAGATTCCTTGGCCTCCTGATAGGGACTCCTAAGGGTCATTGTCCTGAGCTCCAGGCCTTCAACCATATTTTTCTGATCTCTAGAGTGTGGACAGATCTCTTGCACTCTTCTACATTTGACTCTGTGGCTGGATATGGTCAGCTAATCTTGTAAATTTCTGTGTCCTGCTTAAATCTCTTGCAAATACTGACTACAACATACGTGAATCACAAAACTTTACATGTAGCAGTTAAATTATAAATAATAGTTGAAAGGGTCATCTTGATTTCAAACATCACAAGCTAACAATAATCAGTTGAATTTCCTACAGGGGAAGAAAACAAAACTTTTATAATTTGTTCTAAATAAAATAATCAATACATTCATTTTCTTTAGTACCAAAACTTGCAGCAGTGAAAACTATTCAGGAAAACTCATATTTCATAGTTAGATAAGTTTTTTTCAATAGAGTAGTGTTGTTGTTTTTTTTATAGAGTTTCTCTGTGTGGTTCAGGCTCATCTGGAGTTTGCTATGTAGCCCAGGCTGGCCTCAAACTCAAAGTAATCCTCCTGCTTCAGCGGCCCAAGAGCCGGGATTAGAGACCCGTGCCACATGCCCAACTGGAGTAGTGTATTTCAAGTTTGCTTGAACACATAGTAAAAGAAACTCAGTAGGAATTATTGTGCATTTAAAAGCTACCCAAAATACAATAACAGTTTTATAAGTGTTGTTGGACCATATTCAACAAAGGTAAATTTTCCAGAAAGAAAAATTTATTTCTTTGATCACTTAATTTTTTATTTTAATAGCTTTTGATTTTTTAAAAAGGTAAAACTCTTGCATATATCATTAAAGCAAATATTTAACATGATTTAATCTTTTTCTATTGATTCAGGATCT